ATGGACTACCAATTAACGGTAGATATTAAATATCCATAATAACTTAGATAAATACTTCTACAGTCTCATCCTAATTTGTCAAAATTTGAATTTCAATATAGCTTCCAATAATGAATTAATGAATTTGGAGAGAATATCTATTGTCTGAATTCCTAATGTACTTTATTTGTATTTGGTGTGCTAGGGTAGCCTAGTGGGTAAAACAGTCTCTGAAACCTGGGTTAAATTCACCACATGGGTACAATGTGTGAAGCCCATAGCTAGAATATTGCTAACAAGCTGCATCAAACTATACCAACTCACTCGCTCATTATGTTGTATTTTGAGATCACTTACATGACCTGTGTTTTGATTATTATGAATAGTTCTGTTTTTATGTATAAGAACCTAAGTAACTTAGTTTTGCATTGTCTTGTTCCTTCCTTACATTTTGATGTAATGCAAACATTCAAGCAAAATTCAGGTGAACCATGTGGCCCTTAAGGTATTGTTTTAGAAGACCGGATACATTTTTGTATTTTCTGAACACTTTTCTGTTTGCAATGGCTTATTTACATGTTCAAAGATTGGTTACATATCAGTTGCAAGATAAATTGTCAATACCTCACTGTTCGAGAAAACAACTTTAAACATTTGTAAATATGTGTGTGTTTCATAATTTTTGAATAACAAGCTTCTAAAGATGTTATGAATTGTTTCAGGTACCTGGATTTCACAATCTGACACCAGCTACATTTAAGAAGATCTTGCTCACACCATTCAGACAAGGGACTCACCGGATGATGAACAATCCTCCCGATAACAACCAACAGATTCACCTCAGAAAGTGATGATTCTGAATGAATAATGCCACATCAGTGTGACTGTAGGTGGTTTTATTATTACACTAATCAAGTCTGAATGAATTTATGCCAAAGCACTGTGACTATGTCCAGGTTGTGTACGCCGACGCTGACTATACAAATCTGAATGACTTTTGTGGTTTACTGCAGAAACATAATTGACTTTAGATATTCTTCTTACATGAAATTCTTCTGAGATTTGACTAATTTGTTTATTTAGAAAATGGCATTGAAGCGTCTGTTCTGTAAGGCCTTGCAAACACCACTGGTTACTTTATGCTAGTTCCTCTTCTTGCTTGATCAAATTTTTAATTTGTGATATGTACCAATGAAATGCCATATAATCAAAAAATAAGATTTTTTTCCAAAAACATTATTTGTTTTGCTTCATTAGCATAAAGAAATATAATACTGATCAGCCATAACATAGGTGCTGAACAAATATAAAATGTACTAATGCCCTGAATGTTTTCCTACTATAAATACAGCTCACTTAACAAAAGTTGTAGTTCCACGTTAGTAGACAAATGAAATTGATATTTTTTCTGTTCTTTATTTAGGTGTTTTCTATGGATGCCATTAGTCTTATGCACCAATTTGGGACAATTGTATTCTGTTTCATATTCCTATGAAACTATATTCCAGATATAACAAGTACTGATACCGTTCCAAACTAATCTTTTAATCTCACCAGGGCCAAATGCCAAAGCACATAGCCATTTTTTCTGAGTGAGAATAATTTTTTGCCACTTTTAGCAATATTGCAACAAAATCATGGTGGGGGACACCAGCTATAAGCTTCACACATTTATACCCATGTCGCGAAACAACTTGTGAACAATGCATGCCCACATATCTCAGTTTGAGGAGGATATTTACAACTAAAATAACACAGAATATTACAACAGCTATCTGATATGCACAGGCTAACATTGATAACTAGAAACAAGACATGAAGAAAATTTGCATCTGGAAACCTTCCGGAAACCTTCAAGATGCCTTCAGCAACCTTCAAATTTGCTCTCCCCCCCCCCCCCCCCCCCCCCCATTTTGACATTTTCTTCTGAAGGTTTCCGGAAGGTATCCGGGCCGGATCCAAAATGGGAAGGTATCAGGAAGGTTTCCGGAAGACGGAAACCTACACTTTTTTTGCTGTGATATGTCCAAAGCAGTGTTAAACCCAGCTGACTCACTCACTCACTCACTAACATGTACATGTAATAAATATAATTCAAATGAAGAAGGCAATTTGAAAGAGCGGTAGGCCTAATATCTTAACTTGGAATATTCATGAAAATTGTCTATCCACATCTGACCATGATAATCAAGACAACTTTGTCTGAACCCCTGTACAAAATCAGGGATCGATTCAACACCTTGTTCTTTCCATGCATATCCATAGTCACACTTATAGGGTAAATTTTTAACTTTAAGTCCCCTACAGTCGATAAACCTTTTCTTCCAGCTTATATTATGATAGATGTTTGATGTTGGGGCAAAATTATATATGGATAACCTAAGTGGTTACATATGTTTAAAAATGCTTTCAATCAATCATTAATAAACATTTAATAAACTGTGCACAGAATGTATGTTCTACTAGTTACCGATTTGGAAACCATAATGCAGTGTCACATATCACAATCATATGCATCAACAAAAATGTATGAACGTACACATGGTACATGCATATCTAAAAATCAATATTGTCCATTCAAACTGGGTCATTTATCAACAGCTCCCTGTCAAGTATTTAGACTCTGCCGACCGACACATATTCCTGGGGATTTTCATTTTCCTGGAAAGTCCAGAGTCGTGTAGCAGTCAAGCATGTAGGGTTGCGACGGGTACTCGAGTACCCCATAACGGGTCGGGTAGCTTAGGACTCGAGTCCGATTTACTAGATTTACTAGATTTACGCCATGAGACAGGCGTACAATGAGAAAGTCCATGTTGTGGTGATAAGAAATCACAAATGACATTCCACAAGTGTTAGTTAAAATTCGTTTGATAACTTTTCATGATCCCTGATTTTTTTTATTTTTGTTCGGATAAAAAACAAATTAGGTTGTTCAAAGTTGCAAGTTTGTCTTTATGCTTCAGCACGATAAAAACAGAAAAGTTGTTCTGTTGGACTATTTCAACATAAAACTAAACAGTTTTCTATAATTTGCTGATCTGTTCAATAAAAATGTGAAATCTAATGTTATTTGTGTTTGTCATTATTGTCGAAATCATTTTACGAAATACTGAAATAGTGCAATGTTACAAATTACAATACAAGCCTAGTTCACTCAGACACATATCGATTTATTACCCATGTCACGACTGCGTGTCAGGCAGTCATGTCATCTTGCCGTTTCCCGCTCTCGCCTGTTTTGGTGACGGTGCTCAATGACTGGCGCCAGATTACTTTGATATTCTGCGTCACTTGTGGTTTTAGGAAAGTCGTGCAGGCATTTAATAAAAAAACATAATACCTTAGAACAGATTGATAGATGTTTGACCTTTTATTCGCAAAAGCGTTTCAAAAAAGTGGGACAACATTGAACTACGGGTACTCGAGTCCGGTTCGGGTATCGTCTGCCGGGTACTCGAGTTCAGTTTTCGTACCCGGTCGCAACCCTACAGGCATGGCTGCGTGCATTGCCAACGGGGTTTAGTGTTGTATTGACGTGTATTCACAATGACATAACGTTTACTGTAATAATGCCTTAACAAGCTTGCTCATATTGCTCAGTGTTAAAAGGATGGAGTTGGTTTAGCACAGCAGTTGAGGGGTTCAATCTTCTGCCGCGCCATACAAAAAGTCGTGGTATCTAAGTGTGCTAGCACTATAAATCGGCAGTCCGGACAAGTACAAGCAGCAACACACACACACACACACACACACACACACACACACACAAAATTGGTGTTCCTAGACCCTGAGTACGCTGTGACATGTCTGTATTCAAGTGTGGACCAGACACGCCCGTGCTTCATGTCATCAGTAATAACCCACAAATCAGAGAAATAACATACCCATTTCAAAAGGATTGAAACTGTTACAATGTTTGTACAAATTACACACAAAGACGGTGTTTGTGGGGGCATGGGATGGGCTGTGATGTTAACACCGAAAACCGGTTGTTTCAGATGCATTTACATTGGAGCACTTCATATATGCTGTTAAGAAAAGAAATGGGGGGTTACCTGGTCTTCTATTTCCTTCAGCTTTCAGCCTGCTGTCAGCCTGTACAGGCTACTTCACACAAGATTAAATGCAGATATTGGTGTATAGCAACTATATTGTAGAAATTAAGCATCGTTGCGCATTCGCAAGATATTGTCTGTGAGATAAAGTGTTTCATTTCTATAAAAGATACACGAAGACTAGGGCAACATCAGAGTTATCTACTACCCGATTCAGCGAAGTAGCCTCTTTTGACCCGAAAAGGAGTGTTGGTGACTTATTTAAATACGATATTTGAGCTCACAGTACAAACAGATGTAGAGTAGACATGTTATGGATACGTACTGCATAACAAGAAAATCGACCAGGTGACATGTATTAGCACGTCATATTGTTAACGGTTACATGTCTGTACATTCTATAGCTAAAGCAATACAGAATCATAGGCTATGTTTTCACGTGAACGTAATATTGATTATCACAACTTTGTGTTGTGCTAAGCTTCGTCCTAGAAATTATTCGTTTGTTTGTGCAACTGTGTTGTTGAAATAAAACATTCAGCAAAATACATGTACCTGCAGTTGCAAACGGTCGCCATATAATTCATGATGTAACTTGAGGTACGTCAACAGATACATGTATAACTAATTTCCTTCACTTTCTTTGCTAAATGCATGATTTTGTATGCAGGTGCTACCAGTGTTGACATGAACTTTTAGGTTAACATTACTATTACATTACTATTACAATAATGTATGTATTTCAAATACTTCTCGAACTGAACTCATAACCGTCCGATATATTATATAGTACTTATTTTGATTATTCACACCACTGAAAACTAAAAATTGAATTATTGAATCTTCTTTGCAGTCAATACACAGCATGCGTTATGACCAAGGCTGTATACAAAGATGTGATTCAGTAGAAATCGTGTTTTCCAGGAATGGCATACCATATATGGGATTTGTAATGTGCACGAACATGTTCAACAGGTAATATATATGAAGAGTTAGGCTGAGGCCGCGCAAAGCGTTACCTGGTCTCACTGTGTGCAAGCTGGGTGGGTAGACGCTCATATCTCTACCTCTTTGATTTAACTAAGATTGTTCAGTTTAGATTGATGTACATGTTACGTCTTCATTAGTGCACTGACAAATAGTATCATCAGATAAAGTGTAAACGTTGATATTTTATATATCATTACACTTTATCATCGCATGCACATGACATAGTCTGAATCGTGCAATGGACTTTGCTTTGAGCGCTGATATCTTATGATTATGGAAATGGTTTTGTGGTTGATATTTACATCTTGCTTTTCAAAAAGGATATGAAATGTGGAAACATTCGTTCTGTTAATCACAATAAGTCTATAAAATAGTTAAGAGGTGACACGTTTCTGTTTTATTAAAGTTAGATTTCTGTCAGACGAACCGGGAACAGACATTTGGAGGAATCTTCAAGACAAAAGTGAGTACCACATGTATACTTCTGTGTTTTTTTGTCATGTATTCAGGACAGTGTGTATATGTTTTAGATAACGATCCATTCCTAAATAATGCGCTCATATACACATACTTTGACTACTTTACAATTCCCCAAATCAACAGGTGATACTGATATATATATGGCAGATATTAACACATAAACGATACGTAAAGCATGCATATAAAGTTATTTGTTACACAATAATAAAATAAATAAAGATTTAAAATAATTTAACACAACGCCAGATAATAATCAGTGTCAAACATCTGCCGAAACAGATTCCATAAGGCGGTAAAGGCAAAGTGACGAAACCTTTCCGAATATATCACTGAAAATCAGTGATGACCCCAGGCGATGCTCTACCGGTAGCATCCATACTAAACACTTTTCGTTACTAAAGTCAGCTCCAAAAAGTAGGGAGGTGTGAAAACTCTCTCTAACGGTCGTAGCACTGGACAGCCTCACCTATTATGTTGACAAGCGACGAGTCATATCATGTCTACCACATAATTTCTGGAATGACCTAAAAGCTTAGTTGTAAGTAAATGTATTCTTCAGGGAAAATTGAATAGCATGTACATGGTCTGAAGCAATACGATGACATGCATCAGCCAAGTCAGCAACCCTGACTACCCGATCCCGTTAACCGCCTTTTACGACAAGCATAGGTTGCTGAAGACCTTTTCTCTACCCTGATCTTCGCGGGTCAGTTACGAATATGTTCGAATTTAACGGTATGATCTATTACATGACATACATAGAGGTTATACACACTTCTCTTGCGTATGCATTTTATTTACCTAATTGATGTTTTGTCATGGGCTCAACTGTCATAAAAAATATTAGATGCATGGTGCCTTTGTATCGTAAAAATATGCTTTGGTTCCTAACGTCTTTTCTTCTAGTAAGTTGGTGGTTTATTTTTTATTTTTTTTACAAAACAATGAATTAATCTAATGTGACACCAGTGCGTCAAAGGACAAAATTATATCGTTGTGTATCTCACCGACCACGCAATTGTACACATGACTAATGGTTTGTGTCACTGCATTCTCTAGGCATCGTGTTTCCAATGTGAAATCGTATAATTACATATTGATGGTTTATGTGTTCCCAAACATTTGCAGGTTTCACCAAATTTAGGATATGCTCCACAAAGAGGACCATATTGTACCTTGTCTTTTGCCGATAAGTACATCCCCAACTTACCAGGATTCAAACCAATCTAAATGGTGATACTTTCATAGGGCTTTTCCTGAATCTGGCTGCTCCCGCTGCCGCCGCCGCCGCCGCCGCCGCACATTGATTTTTAACCCAAGGAAATTACAATATGCATATCTCCCTTTAGGGCCCTTGGTAATGTTTTTAATACACTGATCAGTCATCCTCAAGGTAATATCCTTAAGAAAGGGGCGTTTTAACGATAACACATGAAGCATTCACTGTAGGACATTGAAACTTGCTACATGTCATTCCAAATCTGAAATGACAGTGAGTGACTTCAGTGAAAGGTAAAGGTCACAGCGAAGGTCATTCATGAAATATTTTTGCCGTGTTTACTCAAATGGCTTTCTTCTGCAGTATTATTACGTCTTGTGTATGCCGTGGTTATATTAATTTGATAACAATGTTCTGATATCAGTATCACGGTGACCTATTTTCAATGAATAGTATATGCTATATTTTCGTTGTTACATTTAAACGTGGGACATCCTATTTTCTGTTATGAGGCTGTATTCCATGTTATTTTTCCAAACCGGATGGGAAGTTATCAAAACAATAATGCCTGTAACGTTCTTATTAATGTAATTGGGACTCTTTTTAAAAGATGTCTTCCATGAGACATGTGTCTTCCCATACCGGAAGTAAAGTAATTAAACAAGGTGTACTTATATCGTTCTTATCAATGTACCTAGAGGCATTGGCGTTTTGCTTTAAAATCACACTGTCTATGACATGGGCTTTCAAGGACTGGAAGTTAAGTCATTAAACCGGATGTGCATATATCGTTCTCATCAATGAATTTAGATGCATTCGCATTGAAACCTTCTGTTTTAAAACCACTATGCAAATAACAGGTATGTTCAGAAACTAGGGCGGATATCATTCAACCGGAAGTGGGTATAAATGTATTTCAAACAGCCAGAGGAACAGGTTAAATAATTATCTGCATTGGGCTTGTTTCCCAAGCCAGAAATGATGTCATTTAACTGAAAGTGATGTCTTAAGAATGGAGATGGCTGTATATTCACAATTGTATTAGCTAGAGGTGAGGTACTTTAATATGATGTGGTGTTGCAGTAGGTCGGTAATGGTATCACACTGGAAATGCGTGGTAGTATTGTGTGACATCTGGGGCCTTCTAGAAATGATGGGTGTGCTACCATTTGGAAAGTCCTTGCAATCAAGTTTTCTAGTTATCTACATCATACAATGGACTAGTAATTAAGAAGATTGTATTGTCCATTTGCCTGTACCTTTACGCCGTGTATCTTATGTCAAGTTTCAATGAGGGATCTCACACTGGCATGGCGGTAGTGTGAAGCAGACATCTTGATTTCATGTGGTAAGTTGTTTTAGACTAATTGCTACATGTTACATTTTTTAGCAATATCATCGCTTAAAACGTATTCGGTAACAATGAATTAATTTGAAGAAATCCACATTAAGGAAGGAATACATTTCTGAAGCTTCATCCGTCGAGCGAAAAACAATACTGACATTGTTACATTTTCTTGCAGGAGCATGAACAACCAGGTGAAAATGGTTCTGCTTGGTCGTCATGGTTGCGGCAAAACTGCAGTGATAGAATCATTTCGTTGGACATCCATTACGCAGCCAACATCTTCGCTTTTGGCGGACAATGTTCACACAGTGACAAAGCATGACTCTAACATAAGCATTATTGAAACGACTGGGCTGTTTGCAGAAGGACAAGATATAAAAGCAAATAAAATGAGACTTGCAGAATCGGTGTACACCTTCACACCAGGCCCTGATGCTTTTGGGCTTGTAGTTCGAATAGGTCGATTTACGCCAGAAGTGAGGACAATGATAGACACTCTTAGAGAAACGTTTGGTGAAGATATGTTCCGATTTACCGTCCTCATCTTTACAAGATTGGATGATCTCAAGTATGATGGCATCACTCTGGAGAAATACCTACAAGAGAGTACACCAGAGCTGAAGAGTGTCCTTGATGCCTGTGGGGGAAGATACATCGGCTTTGACAACACAGGAACGTGGGAATCCAGAGCGGAGGATGCCGATAAACTTCTATCCATGTTGAAGAATCTCCAGAAGCAGAACAACAACATGGTCTATACAGTGGCCATGCTCGAGTACGCCACAAGGTGTCAACAGAAGAAAGAGGAAGAAGATCGGAATCAACAAGATGAGCGCAACCGAAATATTAAAGAAGAGTTGAAAAGTACCATGAGACAGGAACTTGAAGAACAGATAAGAAGAGAGATGCAAGCTGAACTCACGTCAAACACTCAACAGACATGTATTACAACAGGATGTAGTATGTACACTTTTGTACATTATACTGTTCTGGGCATGGATTCTCACCTTCGTGTTTAATATTATATTAATATTCAATATAATTATTTTTAGTTTAGTATTTAGTGAAATTGTGCAACTATTTAATGGGTACGAGTAATATTTCTACAAATATATGGAATGAGATATGAACATCATATACTCTTCAAAAAAAGAAACGCAAAGCCGGATTTGTGTGAGGTAGGAAAATACATTTATACAAGGAACCGTACAAGGTATTGAGCCAAAATGTTGTGGAGAGAACACTTAGTGATTGTAGTCATCTCAGTTATCGGTACCGGTAGGAAAAGTCCAAGGTGAAGGTCAACTACTATCAATAGTATCGATAGCGGCCTGACATCTCCTGCATAATGGAAGAAACGAGTATTCCTGGGGAATGGTAGCCCACTCGGCCTGCTACGCAAAACCCAACTGCTGCAACGTCAGGGGTTGTGGTTGACGTCGGCGTAGCCGTCTATCCAATTCATCCCACGGGTGCTTTATCGGGTTCAAATCCGGGGATCTGGAGGGCCAGAGGAGAACATCAACGTTGTTGTGTAGACAGGTTCTTGTGATCCGTGCTGTATGCGGTTGAGCGTTGTCCTGATGGAATACAGCGTTGCCGTTGGCTGCAATTGGGAGGACGTGTGGTAGGAGAATATCGTTGATGTATCGTTGAGCCGTAAGACTGCCCTGTATATGGACCATACCTGCCCTGCCATGATGAGAGATTACCGCCCGCATCATAACGCTACCCCCATCAAATCTGTCCACTACCTGTACGCAGTTTCCGGCGTAACGTTCTTCCCAACGCCTGTAGACCCGTGCTCTTCGATCCCGTCTACGGAGGAGAAATCTTGACTCGTCGCTGGACCAGACATCTCCTCGTCGCAGTTGACGACACCAATGCAGTCGTTGTTGACGATGTTGTCGACTCATGGGATGCGGTTGAGGTGGCTGTGGTCGTCCTTTCACGGAGGTGGCGCAGTCGGATGTAGCGATGTTGGGCAGGGATGGTTACTCTTGGTCGTCCCGACCTTGGCCGATCACGTGTTGACCAATGCTGTTGAAACCAATCCCATATCCTTGTGATGGTGCTGGGCGCTACATTGAAAGCCCTAGCTACAGCTGATCGGGATTCCCCTGCCTGCAAGCGGCCTATGACGTTGTTTCTTTGCACTTCTGTTAATCTTGGCATGTTGTTGAATTGTCACTGTTCTATTGATCAAAAACCCTGCAATTTAATACCGTTCATAGTGCTTCTGCATGTGCACTGGTGCGTTTTCCCGAACCGTACGTGTTTCCCGACCAATGGTTTGCATGTCCTTGCTATGATCATTTTGATCCGGGACATTTTCACTGACACTTTAACGGATGACCCTAACATATCCGTTTTGCGTTTCTTTTTTTTAAGAGTATATTTCATTTTAAATGTTCATTATTTTGTTGTCAAATTTGTTTTATATAACAGAACGTATCACCTTCTTTTTGTGTTGTAATCATAGAGCCACGCAAACTCCAAACACAAATATATACCAGACAGACTGTTGAATCGGGGGACAAGTTCAATGAGAGAATACCAAAAAAAGGTAAACTTTTTCTTGAATATTTTAGTTTCCTACCCACTGACAAAATCTATTAAGTGCTCTTCATTCTTTTAGACATTATGCACGGCATGCGTCATACATTTGTAAGTCTCAAGTACTCTTTAACATATACCTTATTTCCAGGTGCTAATCGATCCAAACACGAAAGAGGACCAAGGCCGGAGTTGAAGCCAAAGCCTACAACTCGAAAAGTGCAAGAAAATATCATTTCCCGAGACACTCATGAGCAAGATGCTGGTATGTGTTAAATGCAGTGTTGCATAATCAGAAATCTCGTAAACGTTTACCATGGCAGAGATATGTTCTGTGTGATCTTTGATTCCACAATTCAGCTGTAAGGGTTAAATAAGTAAATATAATCATGTTGTGTCGTAAATGTATGAGTGAGTGAGTGAGTATACGTGTGCGTGTGCGAATAATAGATTGTAAATTACTAATTACTGTTCAATTGACTTGGCAATCATTAATATATCTTATATTTGTTTGTTTGTAGCTCAAAACGAAAGACATGCAACTGTAGACGACACCAGTGGAAATGATGCCAAACCAAAACGAAGCGGGCTGATTGCAAGAATGCTTCATTTTTGGGAGTCTTTTCGCCCAAAATAAAACTTTGCGTCAGACGGTATTAATGTGATTAGAACATTTGGTTACATGTCTGATATTTTGTCATGATCCGCAGATACAGCAAAATCATGTTTATAAGGCACACATAGTGCAACTATTACATCATGAAAGACTGCTTAATATGCCTATCATAGGCACATTATGTCAAGTTTCGAATAAAAGTAAACAGAGAAATAAAATTGTATGAATCAATGTATAACAAAAATCTTTTACTTTGCAAGCATTGTCAAAACACAAAATAAGTGAGTGAGTGAGTGAGTGAGTGAGTGAGTGAGTGAGTGAGTGAGTTTGATTTTACGCCGCTTTTAGCATTATTCCAGCAATATCACGGCGGGGGACACCAGAAATGGGCTTCACACATTGTACCCATGTAACCCGGGACTTGGAAATTATGGAAATGGTTTTGTCGCTTATATTTGCTTCAACTCAAACCAGACATAAATGCATTGTCTGAAGCAACACTATTATGACCCTAAGTGCAGAAGCAGAACAACCTTAACGAATGATCATTCTAGTGCCATTGACATTCCTTGAGTGTCGTTCAAAACCTTGTCCGCTCTAAGGATGATATTACCTAATTTTATTACGGTAATACCTAATTCTATGAAAAAGATGATATTACCTAATTCCACGAAAACAAATGCCATCCGAGGTTTACTGAGAAAACAATATGTGAAATGCTGGAAATCTACGTAAAATTGATATCATCCACGTAAAATTTGGGGTAAGATATTTAGGCAAGAAGCAGGCATCCCCATTGGCACCAAGTGTGGCCCCCTTCTTTGCTGGTCTATTTCTTTATGCATATGAATCCGAATTTCTGTTCGGATTGGCAAAGTCAAAACAAGGTAATTTGGCCAAGAAGTTTTACTTAAGCTTCAGGTACATCGATGAACTCATATCGTTAAATAACCATCAAATAGCCAATTCCCTTCCACTGATCTACCCACCTGAACTAGAAACAAAGGAGACCAGTGAGACCGCATAACGATTCAGAGTGACAAAACACTCTCCACAAGACTGTATGACAAGAGGGATGACTTCAACTTTCCAAAGTCAACTTTCCCTTCATGTCGAGCATTATTCCAGCAGCTCCAGCCTGTTTACATTTCACAGCTTTTGAGATACAATCGAGCATGCTCTTTCTACCAAGAGTTCAAAGAGCGTCATACGACTCTTGCTAAGTAGTTGTTTGATCAATGTTACACAACATTCAAGTTTTCAAAACGTTTTATGGTAGACATGTGGACATTTCCAAGTTTGACGCATCAGTGACAAAAATGATGTCCGATGCAATTCCCTATTTTGACTCGTACCATATGTTCCCATGGGGTTTTTTTCACGTGAACAATTGACTCGCCTTTGCATGTGTTTATGACGGGTGGTACAGGTTGGGCATGATTCGCTCACCTTTTCGCGGCCACCTGGTATCAGCACTACATGTATTTGATAGCGATTCTTAAACACACTCACATGATATAGTTGGAATCGTACAATCGACTCTGCTTTATGCAGAGATTTCTATTAGTTATGGAAAGGATTTTGTCGCTTTATTTAATTATTCTATAGTAAACACTTCTTGAGTTACCACAAACATAATGCATGTTTGAGTAAGTTTGACCTTCAATACCAGTGACAAGTATTTCAAGAACACATCAACGGGCTATCAAGCAATTAAACCAAATTGACGTCCCGAGGAGTTGAGGTCACCATGACACACTACCGTCAGATCACAGCTAACGGCCATGATCTAATTAGGAGATTTAGCTTGTATGTTTTTATTTATTTTGGATTCGCACTGAAGATTAGATACCTTTTTTTAATTTGGAGCCCAGTGCTTTAGCTAAAAGGAGGTATCTTGTCTACAGTGGGACGACATCAAATTTCAAAACCTAGTAGTTCTATCTCCATTTTACTATGACGGAAAGAATGATTTCAAAACGGTAGTCTTTGTGGAATGAGTAATTACATATGGGTACATAGGTCAGCGATCTTCGATGGTTCGGAAAAGGGGTCACAGGTAGTGATAAATTTGAAAAATATTACTCAAGTTCAATATTATCTTCTTAAAATATTATCGGGTTTTCAAAACGAATTTATGAAATATCAATCCATCGAAATATTTTAATTTTCAACGCAACCTGTTGGATATTTGTACTGCTTGACGACTCAACCAAGTCTTTCTTGGACATCGACGTCAGAAGTCAATTCTTGGAAATCAATAAAACATTCCCACTGTAGGGGTGACAAAAAGAAAAATTCAACTTTGTTAAATCAGTATTTTTTGGATTATTTAAGTTGTACTTTTGTAGCAGTTGGTTGAAATATCTCGCCAGCAGTAATTTATTTACGAATGAGTGTCTCTCCATTCCCGACTTGACCTGAATACAAAAGTACAAAGTCGCACCATTTTAGTCCTTTGACACACATTTGTCCCTGAAATGATAATAAATTTTAATTTTGGTTATTAATTTGTTTGCTTGTTTGTTGTTTAACGCCGAACTCAGCAACATTCCTGCTATATGACGGCGGTCTGTAAATAATCGAGTTTGGGCCAGACAGTCCAGTGAGTGACATCATGAGCATCGATCCACGCAAATGGGATACGATGACATACATCAACCAAATCAGCGGGCCTGGCCACCCGATCCCGTTTGTCGCCTCTTACAAGCAAAGTCGCCTCTTAAGGCAAGCATGAGTTGCTGAAGCCCTATTCTACCCGGGATCCTCACGGGTCGGTTATTGATTTATCATGTTTACTGTTAATTATTGATTTGAGTCCCTTTATGTTCTTAGAGATGTTTATTACTATTAGCCAAAGTAGGCAGCCTAAAAAACTATATTGATTGATTGATCTCTACCATAAGATTTATAACATTTTTAGCAGTGTAAATGGCAGCACAAGGATGGAAATTGTTTACAATGAATTTGATCAATTAAGAACAAAATTTAAAGTTTAAATAATTTAACTATTGATACTACAGCATCTAAAATAAGATGAAATAAGGATATAAGGAAATGAGTGTCTTGGATCTTGAGGACAATTCTGAGAGTTATTTTTAGCGATTTTGAGTTAATCCTTTTGTAATTTTGGAGAATCTATCATCGTGAATGCTAATCATATAAATGCATTATTGAAATACATAATTCAGAATAAAGCCGAAATAATGGTAGTTTAAATTGTCTTTTATCTAAAGTTTTGTGCCAAAATGGCATTTTCAGTGCGATTGTTTTACAGGCATATCGAATACGTTCTTGAAATATTAAACTTCATAGCTTAAAGAAGATTGAGTAGTAAAATTATCTTTCAAGCTTGTCAATGAAGGGAGATAACTTTGAGCTCATGCAATATACATGCACGTGTGGTAAATCCTTTTGAATGATTTTGCACATCGGTCGCTTCTTGCGAGCAACAGTCACCAAAGATGTCCAGACTTTGAGTGTTTGTGACGAAAGTTATTTATTTTTTTATTTCAGTGTGGGTATGTGCAACCTGTTATCATAACAACGATGCCGCCAATGACAGTTGTCAAGAATGTGGAACATCCAAATTGACGAGGAAGAGAATTGTGAAAAGGGGTATGAACATCTCTCTTACCAGAATAGTCACGTTTAGCCTTCCCAAAGACAGTTGATTATTTTGATTACCGATTTTGATTTCAAACATTTTGCATAGCATTACCACTTAGTGCCAAACATGCTTTAATCTTATGTTTGGACATGAGTTTGCAGTAGGTAGAATACACATGTATGGATGTGAATTGTGAATTCTTTTCTGCGGATAAACAATACAAAAGTGTTCGACTCAAGAACACTTAACAGTAGGTACTTGTTGAAGTATATATCAGAACATATAATAGGCAACAAATACAGTAAGTTTTACTTTCTTTGAGGATACATTCATAACGCAAAATAGTGCGTTGCTCAAACACACCATGCTTCGGGGAATTTGCCTGCTGCACGTACTTCACGTACTTCATGTAGTACATTTAGTGCAAAAGTTCATATCGTTTTCCAGTCATATAAGTCTTATAAAAGACGCGTTTGAGTGTCTGTGTATTAACTCGCATAGTCATGTCAAGAAGGGGACACGTTATTAGTCTTTTCTTGATGACAGTATCTTTTTAAAACACTTTGATGTGGCTTTAGTATTCTAGCCACATTTATCACACTTTGCGACGTTTTGTGGTACATTTTCTGAAAAAAGTATCCTAAAGTTTTAGTTGTCCATTTTTTGCTGTCATGAGTGCTATTTAGGCATGTTATGGCAACGTATGTAACCAACACATTTTCATTATGAATAGGAAAGTTTTCACATTTCGATTTTTACATTCTCCGATTTCAATGTAGTTCCTTGGTGTTAGCATCTATTATCGTCAAATCTAGGCGTCTTGCTCAGTTGCACAGTTATGTCGTATGAGAGAATCACTTTATTTTCTGTTGTTGTTAATTCAACCATATTCTTTCGTCTCTTTCCACTGCGCAACAACTTTATTGACAACAGGGGAGTGTTTAACAATGACATAATTAACAGGTATAGTTCCACTTCATTTCCTTGTAGATGCACAACGGACATCTCCTCCCCTGCCTGTTCAGGCTCCTCCACCTCCTCCATTGCAGATGGTCGATCAAGTCTACAGTAAGCCAACGCAGAAGGTGGCCCGTGTCAATCCTTTTCCAAAACCCTCACGACAAGGAATTGGTATGTTCCTAATCTATGGGGCTAGGACAAAAAAAATGATTGTCACATATCTATGGTATAGATTCCTGGTACATCTATCATAGTTGGCCAACAAATGTGGATTAACATTATGTTATATTATTTGATTAAAAACAAGAAAACAGCATTATCACTAATGCAACTACTCTGTAAAAAGTAATATGGCACCAATTCTCGAACTCAGTCTACATAAGAATCATTAGCTAACTTCAGGAGTTTCTGAGAAAACTTGTCCCCATTGCAGACACTGTGCACTTTGTAAAATAACATGGATGAAGGGCCCCAACTGTGTATGCTCCAAATCTAAAAACATGTAACAAGGGAAGTTACTCTGGGTAAAAAGAATTTACGGGACCAATTTGCGAACATTGTCTTCTATAAGCTTGTAAAGATTCATTCATGTAACGTAAGTAGTTTCTGAGAAAACTTGTAAAAAGAAATCATTTACGGCACCAATTTTCGAACTCAATTTTGACAAGTAGCTCTTAGATAAGCATGCAAACTTTCATTCATGTAATTTCAGTAGGTTTTTTTTAGAAAACTTTTCCCCATTTCACACAGTATGCACTAAGTTGAAAATCACCGAGCAAGGGCCATAACGTAAAAAATGAATTCAAGACACCAAATTTCAAACTCATTTGAGAACATTACCAGTAATATTAGTGTGTAAAATTCCATTTCTCAAACCCCAAACTTCATGGTATATGACGAATTTGGCCAATTTCCTCTTCACATAACCATAGCTAATTATTGGCACAAACTGAAACTCGTATATAACCCTATTAAATTATCATAATATGTTCTTCGCTTTAAGAAAGCAAATAATTCTGTAAATACAAGGGATAATAGCTGGTTGAACAATGTCCAGAAAAGTCTTGATAACTGTGGCATGTCATATGTGTTCAATGACCCATATTTGTACACCAGCAAGTGGCTAGTCTCTAAGGTAGAGTTAACGTTAAAAGATCAATTTACATAATCATGACGGAGAACTATGTGCAATAGTTACAAAGGAACTTGCTACAAATTACTTAAATCTGCCCCATCCTTTGAAACATACCTCCTCCTTCCAAGGACAATCTCTTTCCCACTCCTTTTCAAACCTGTAACCATAATTTACCCTGCTGAGACTGGCCGCTGGCTTGGTATACTGAGAGAAGAAGGAACCTCTACACCTTGTAACTCGCCAGCTATTGCTGACGAGTTCCACTATTTAGTTAAATGTCAAGCCTTCGTAGTAGATATATACCAGTAAAATGTTATTTATAGCCTAATCTTTATAAGCTCAAATAATATCTGTGTGCAACGAGAATAGCAGAAATAAGCAATTTGTCCAAGTTTATTTCCAATGAGTACAAATGCGTTAGAAATAATACATAAACATACTCTTGTTGAACATATACTTGTCTGTAAAACACGCTCTTGTACCACCGTGGGTGTTTCCATGACAATAAACAATTTATATTTTGAAATTCTAACAAAAAGAGTTTATTAGAAAATGTGCCCCCTTTCAGAAGCGAACGGACAGACGGGCGAACTTTGTGGCAGGGGATAATAACTATCACGATTACTATTTGGTTTATATCTAGGCACCTTTTTTTTGTTTATTCAACTTCGTCATGAAGTCAGGTGATGTACCAAACGTAATATAACACAGGTACATATGTCATATTCATGAAAGTTGGATTGTAAAGTGCTACCATGAGACAATCTATTACAGACATGTCGTATTTCTCAGCCTTTAGTAATGTGTCTCATTCTTAAACAATGGTATTTGATATATGCTGTATGATGTTTGTGCGCCATATATAAAGGCATTTTTTTGTCTTTCAGAATTGGGCGAATTGAGACTGGTACTACTTGGTAAAACTGGAGCAGGAAAGAGTGCAACAGCAAACACAATAATGAATAAGAAGGTTTTTGATTCAAGATCGTCAATGACCTCGGTAACCGAAAAATGTCAGTTTGTTCATGGCGATTTTTTTGGCAACACCATCCAGATTGTTGATACACCCGGATTATTTGACACCAACACAAAGAAGGAGGTTATTGATACAGAAATTAAGAAATGTATTGCACTTTCGGCCCCAGGACCACATGCCTTTTTGTTGGTTTCATCCTTAACCAACAGGTTCACAGAGGAAGAAGGGAAAGTCTTTGACGAAATTGACGACATGTTTGGGGAGCAAGTGCTCAACTACATGGTCATCGTCTTCACTGGAAGAGATCAGATCGAACCTAAGACAGTGGAGAAACACATTCAAGGCGCACCTGACAAATTAAAACAGATTTTAAGTAACGCTGGAGGAGGATATGTCACCTTCAACAACAGAGGAAAGGAACTTGAAAAGGAAGCGGATGTAAAATGCCTTATTCAACGCATCAAAGACACAGTGAATAAGAATGGAGGGAAACATTTCACCTCAAAAATGTTCCAGGAGGCAGAAGAAATTATTCAAGAGAGAATCAAGAGAGATATAGCTGACAAAGAAAAAGAGATGAGAAGGGAAATTGAGGAAGAATTGCGCGAAGAGATGAAGGAGTTCATGCAGAACGAGAGGGAGTATTACGAGAAGCTTCATGAAGCCAATGTGAAAGAAATGGAAGATTTAAAACTTCAACTAAAGGGAGAGCGGGATAAACATGCCAGAAAGCGTTCACTTGTTATAGAGAAGGAGAGGACCTTGGGGGAGCTGGTACAGAGTGAGATGGAGATGAAGACGAAGAAGAACAAACTTGTCCAGCAGTTGCAGAAGGCTGATGGTGAAGAGAAAGTGCAAATGCAGCGTCAACTGGCAAATGTTGGGGAGGAGGTGACGCGCATACTTGCTGAAAGGAAGAGAGTAGAAGATGAAGTCACAAATGACCGATTTTCAGCAGAATGTAATTTGAGAGCACAACAAGTAAGAGAAACTGAAAGGGGAAACATACAGAACGAAGATGAAGCAACACTCAGTAGATTCGCTGCAGGCATGAAGAATATGGGGAGGCGTTTTCTCAAATTATTTAAGTAGGCATACATAGTGTGCCATTTAGTGAAGATGAAGCAACACTTCGAAGATTCGCTGCAGGCATGAAGAATATGGGGAGGCGTTTTCACAAGTTATTTAAGTAGGCATACATAGTTATGACATTTAGTGAAGATTAAGCAACACTCCGAAGATTCGCTACATACATGAAGAATATGGGGAGGCGTTTTCTCAAGTTATTTTAGTAGGCATACATAGTGTGACATTTAGTGAAGATGAAGCAACACCTCGATGATTCGCTGCAGGCATGAAGAATATGGGGAGGCGTTTCCTCAAGTTATTTAAGTAGGCATACATAGTGTGACATTTAGTGAAGATGAAGCAACACCTCGAAGATTCGCTGCAGGCATGAAGAATACGGGGAGGAGTTTTCTCAAGTTATTATCACCCGCCACGAAGTGGAAGGGGGATATAGGAATGGGTGCGTCCGTCCGTCACATTTCGAAAGTATTTTTCAAATTTCCATGGCAACGATTTTGGCTTAGACTGAAAATGGCGGTAGTCCTCGTTTCCGGAGCAGATGTTGAAAACCGTACCATAATTCTTCACCAAACTTCGCACATAGATAGGTCTAGTGGTAAACTGGTGCCTTTTGATAGTTTGGGATTTAAAAATAAAATGTTTTTCGACTTTCCATGGCAACGACTTTGATTTAGACTGAAAATGGCGGTACTCCTCGTTTCCGGAGCAGATCTTTGAAAACCGTACCATATTTCTTCACCAAACTTGGCACATAGATAGGTCTAGTGGTGAACTGGTGCCTTTTTATAGTTTGGGATTTGTATAAAAAAAAATCGAGTTTCCATAGCAACGACTTTGACTTAGATTGAAAATTGTGATAGTCCTCGTTTCCGGAGCAGATCTTGAAAATCGTACCATATTTCTTCACCAAACTTGGCACATAGCTGGGTCTAGTGGTGAACTGGTGCCTTTTGATTGTTTGGGATTTTTGCAGAAATTAGTTTTCGAGTTTCCATGGCTACGACTTTGGTTTTGACTGAAAATGGCGGTAGTCCGCGTTTCCGGAGCAGATATTGTAAACCGTACCATATTCCTTCACCAAACTTGACACATAGATAGGTCTAATGGTGTACTGGTGCCTTTTGATAGTAAAGGATTTTTTTTTTTAAATATGTTTTGAGTTTCCATAGCAACGACTTTGGCTTAGACTGAAAATGGCGGTAGTCCTCATTTCCGGAGCAGGTCTTGAAAACTGTACCTTATTTCTTCACCAAACTTGGCACATAGATAGGTCTTGTGGTGAACTGGTGCCTTTCGATAGTTTAGGATTTGTAAAAAAAAGAATTTCGAGTTTCCATTGCAATGACTTTGACTTAGATTGAAAATGGTGATAGTCCTCGTTTCCGGAGCAGATCTTGAAAACCGTACCATATTTCTTCACCAAATTTTGCACATAGCTGGGTCTAGTAGTGAACTGGTGCCTTTTGATAGTTTAAGATATTTTTTTAAAAATAATTTCAAGTTTCCATGGCAATGACTTTCGCTTAGACTGAAAATGGCGGTAGTCCTCGTTTCCGGAGCAGATATTGTAAACCGTACCATATTTCTTCGCCAAACTTGACACATAGATAGGCCTAATGGTGTACTGGTGCCTTTTGATAGTAAAGGATTTTTTCTTTTAAATATGTTTTGAGTTTCCATAGCAACGACTTTGGCTTAGACTGAAAATGGCGGTAGTCCTCATTTCCGGAGCAGGTCTTGAAAACTGTACCATATTTCTTCACCAAACTTGGCACATAGATAGGTCTTGTGGTGAACTACCGCCTTTTGATAGTTTGGGATTTAAGAAGAAATTATTTGTCGAGTTTCCATGACTACGACTTTGGTTTAGACTCAAAATGGCGGTAGTCCTCGTTTCCGGAGCAGATCTTCAAAATCGAACCATATTTCTTCACCAAACTTGGCACATTGATAGGTCTAGTGGTGAACTGGTGCCTTTTGAAAGTTTGGGATTTTTTAAGAAATCATTTTTCGAGTTTCCATGGCAACGACTTTGGCTTAGACTGAAAATGGTTGCAGTCCTCGTTTCCGGAGCAGATGTTGTAAACCGTACCATATTTCTTAACCAAACTTGGCACATAGATAGGTCTAGTGGTGATCTAGTACCTTTTGATAGTTTGGGATTTTTATAAAAAATATTTTTTGACTTTCCATGGCAATGACTTTCATTTAGACTGAAAATGGCGGTAGTCCTCATATTTGCGGAGCAGGTCTTGAAAACTGTACCATATTTCTTCACCAAACTTGGCACATAGATAGGTCTAGTGGTGAACTGGTGCCTTTTGATAGTTTGGGATTTTTATAACAAATATTTTTTGACTTTCCATAGCAATATATTCTTGTCAACCATACTCTGTTCTTCACTTGCTTGATAATGGTGTTAGAACCTACACCGAAACCATCGCTCCTAATTGTAATAAAGAAGTTGTTCGTCCATATGTCTCATCCTTACTCATTACAAATTCAGTAACATATTCTATCATAAACTGCAGATGGAAAAACAACACCAGTAATAACCTTTTTTAGTTCTGCAATTAGGCCATATCCTAAAAGGCCCAGTGAACATAGTTCACAGGAGCTAATGCATTGCACACACCCGACATGTCATATTGGTGGGGGATGTGAGTATTTCATTCTTGTTTAAGTAGGCATACATTGTGTGATATTTGGTGAAGATGAAGCAACACTTCGAAGATTCGCTGCAGGCATGAAGAATATGGGGAGGCGTTTTCTAAAGTTATTTAAGTAGGCATACATATTGTGACATTTAGTACTTAGTTTAATAGGGTCAAACATATGACCTTTTTGGCGTCTGTATGTATCTCTATCTAATCCTTATGCTGTCACAATTTGTTCATTGTTAACGCAGCACTCACCAAGCTATGTGAATACGGCTGGCATTGCATTGCTATCCTTGCATCTTGAAGGACTATATAACGGATACAACAGTCCGTTTGCCACACCGTTTTCAAGTGGATTAGTATTGAGACGGCCCCAACCAAAACTATGTAATTCTCTCTAACACCGAGCTCCCCCACCCCTGTAAAAGGACAATTGCCGTATTTCAAAACATCATAGTTTTTTTAAACTAGTCCGGTGTTGTGGTAAATAAACTTCAAATCTGGGTGGGTAAAAGACATTCAATAACATGTGTCATTTATTGGCAAACGGACTGCACTCCGAATCCATGTTATATTTGATCAAATATATAGATATTACATAATGTGATGTGTGCATTACAAGAACCAGGATTACCATCCTGTTTGGTGTATTTTTGTCCTCTTTTCTGCAATATTTTATTAGATTAGGTGGGTGTATGTCTATAACGTCACAATCATTATCAGAAATAGTCCCGGTAAATTAAGACTGCCTTTAAATAACCAAGTATGGCCATGGTGAATCAGTGGCTGAACGTCTAATCAACGATCCACGACATCGGAGTTTGATGACATACAATGAGACAAGTCACAATGCCCGACCACCTGACCCCCATTGTAGCCAGAATCAAACCATCGGACTAACGAATCTGAGGAATTCTTATGTCTTTCATCTGATATCATGCCCTTACGTGGCAGAATCTTTTCGTAGAGGCCAGTGGTAGACATGGAATGAATGAATGAATATGCATTGTGCTAGTATTTATATAGATAGGTGCATTATTAACACATGTTACATATATATATATATATATATATATATATATATATATATATATATATATATATATATATATATATATTCGTCATTAACTATGTACACAAGAGAGCACTTTTCCAATACAACAGATTGAATTTAGTTAATGCAATACATTTCTTAAATTTAAGATTTAAGGAATCTGATGAATTCTTATAATTCTTATTAGTTGCTTGCGAAATAAATCATTTTATATGTCTTTGTCTGATACCATACCCTTACGTGGCAGAATCTTCTCGTAGGGGCCAGTGGTAGACATCTACTTTGAAACCATTGGATAATTTAATAATGCTGAAAAGGTTTTCGCTTGTATCCGCCCGTGACGACACCTAGATATAATCGAAAGCTGATTTAGCTTGAGCATGTCATTTGAAAATGAAACGAAATTGGACGAGGGTTTCTGCAATAATATTACCCAGGAAAATAGCGTTACTGTTATTACCATTATAACTTAACATTGCCCTTAGCATACCTAAACCAAATCAGTTTCCACACGGACACAACGGAGGTAAATGACGCACTGGTCTAGAACCACGTTAACAATGGATTACGTATCTATAAGACGTCATTCGACCTTGCATTTAGACATCGGAGAGAAACAGTTTTGTGAGCAAATGTGAGTGCAGCTGTTTATACAGTGACCTGCCAGGGAGAGGATCAGAACACTGAGTGAACGTCATTGAGTAACGTGATTGATAATGGCCAGTCGCTCGGCGGGCATTATCAAGATACAGCGTTCCGTTTTTTGATAATTATATCCAGTTTAGCTGTAATGATGTTTAACGCCTGTCACATACCGGCATGTAAATTATCGCCTTTTTTATTCTTCACTCCCTGGGAAGTATACAAAACAAGCTGCCTTAGGCGCAAGAAGGTTAATAGTGCTGGGTGAACAGAGGCTTATTTCAAATAAGTCACTTGCCCAAAAGTGCTACATGTGCTTAAGTGTGGGGCTGGACCGAAACTCAGAAGCCAAGCTGCCGGACCCGATCACCCATCCAAGAACGCCCCACGACAAACGTTGCTTAACTTCAGCATATTTATGAACAGGTGGCACGTGGCTATGTCTTATACAGTTTCAAGTGAAATAGCTTCAAGCATCCAAGATTGCATAGAAACGTCAAGTTAAACGAATTGTGAAGATATAATAAAAAACAAATAGTTTTCGTGTTTGTCATACTTAGGTGATATGACATCGAAATGACGAGTCACGTGGACTAGAGTGGGATACTCCTATCATGAGTAAACAGTATTCTGTTACATATGTTCCTTATGAATGGTTTTACGACGCTCTTGACAATGTTTTAGCAATATCTCTTCGGGGACACAAAAATGGGTGTCATATTTATATGGTGCGAGTGCATTTTGTTAGATTGGCTGTGAAATGTTAATTTCACTTGTGAGATGGCCCCTTTATATCCCGTCATCGCTGAGGGATCGGGTGCCCAGGCTCGCTGATGCATGTTATCCAATTACATAGATCGATGCTCATGATGTAAGTGGCTGGATTGTCTGGTCAAAATTGGATTATTTACAGACCGCCGTCATAAAGTTTGAATATTACTGATTTCGGCGTTTAACAACAAACAAACAAACAAACAGAAGTGAGTATAATATGGCTTCTTTTAGAATTTTAAATTAAACAATAATGCCTCAATAAATGGATGAGCAATGGACCAACACATTAAGTTCTATGGATGTCAACGTACATATTATTTTTATATGTAGTATTCCCATATGCTTCTTACAGCAATAAGACAATTCTCATCGGAATAATGGCGGCAAACATGAGTGAAGTCATTGGAGCGATCATTGGTGCAAAATTGTAGTTGAGGTGGACAACTTTCTTCGTTGAGTTTAGCACTGTATCATAAGGGCGTACACACCGAATTTTGATCGCATATAAGTTTAAGTGACACCTAGACGATATTCTTATAGAACCACATGACCATTATTGTTCTGAAATACATATTGTCTGTCTCGTGAATTTAAATTTCAAAAGACAAGAATCCTTTACTGCTGTTAGTTCTAGGACCAGAACGTAGGTAAGTTTTTCTATATAATTTATATATAAACCACCAAATTTGGGATCAGTGCTATATCACGCAGTACTGTCCCAAAATACTTTAAGTTAACCGTAAATGATGCTTACGCAATGTCAGGTCTTGCTGAATTCTTTTGCAAATGGAAAGACGTCACGCTATATTGCAGCACGCTAAAGCTGGCCGACTCGTTGCACGTGTTGTAACATACGTTTTGAGGCAGCACTGCTGGTATTTCTCCAGATTTCTCCCCCACAGAACATGTCTGGGATTGGGTGAAAAGGCGCCAACGATTGGATCAGAACTAGCCGGTAACGCTAGCTCACTTGGCCAATCTTTTGAACAACATCCCCAAGGCTGTTTTCAATCAACCGGTGTCTTCAAAGCGCCGCCGCTGCCTTGGCTGTATCAACATTAACGGTGGTCACACCCGATATTTACACTGTTAACTGAGTTGTTACACCCCGCTCTTTTAGGGCCTGTCTCTCCCGTTCCTGTTACCAGGTATGGGTTTTGTCAATGAGATTGCCATGATAAAACATGGACCAAATATTATGTTGTTATTTTCAATAAACATAACCTTTACACCACTTTGTTTGAAACTTCTTTTTTACTTTTTTCCGTTAGTATTATATGTTAAAGTAGTGTTGTTTGATTTTGCGTGTACAGTATAATTTTCAAATGTGATTATCAAATGTAGTTTCTTAGCTTTGAATATTTAACAACATTTGAATCATTTATATTAACACTAGTATTGTATTGTAGGCGATAGCGACACAACATTCGGAATATCGTTCAAAGGATTATTGAAATCACGTGTGTATTTCTAAATACATTTATGTCTTATCCGACCAGACATACGTAAAAGGATGCGGGCTCCATGGATTAGGATTTGTTTTTATTTAACCATGATAATTTTAACACGATTCTTTGATTTGGCAACCTATTCTTCTAAAATCTTGACTGAAAAAAAATGACTTGACTAACAGCTGATGATGTCACCTCTGATAAGTCGCCGTAATTCTATGACCTCTTCAGGGTTGTTTAGCTGAAAACAGGACGCAATCTCCATATCACCATGACCTTATGAGATTAGCCTCCATTCGACTGAGAAAACTACTAGTGTGGCTTTGATAATTCCGATTGATTCAGTCTCCGGGTCCATCGACCTACATCGGACAGTGTAACAAATTATTTAGTTTACAGAAAGTCAGGACTTTCAGATTTATACCAATGTTTTCTCAGCTGATTGCGCAGTAGTTCTAGGAATGTAAGATTTGTCAGAAGTAAACATTCAAATCACGAGATACATCATCAACATTGTCCGTTAGTGTCTTACTTAAATATCCAGTGAGCTATTCCACGTGGGCAATACACATAAATTTATTATATATACGTGTCCGCGCTCGATAGCTTTTTCAATACAACCCTTGTTTTTAAAAACATACGTTTATATAAACAGCTATCGCTCTTGAGATACACGTTGAAACGCCCGTTATAACCAAAACTACCTCTGAAACATACTAACGGGCATGCCTAAACCCACAGAGAGAATGTACCAGCCCTCGTCCACTGCATTGGATGTATGTAGGTTATCTGATGCTAACACGGATATACAGTGTGAACTAAATATAATTGAAGAACGAAAACAAGAGATATACCACATTCTCACATATGTTTGCCAATGGCTACATTTGTCACGACCTAGTTTATTTACTTAGTTCCGGGTTGCTATTTTCTGTTAGTTCCGTTTCGTTCCCTCTAAAATATTCTACGTCGTAGTTTACAGATAGAGTAACGTAATCATCAGAAAAATACGTCTCGGTGCACTCATCCATGTGAAAAGATAAGACACACAAGTGGCGTTGTTTCCTTACGTACTACATTCATAAGAAAAACAACAGTTTACCTCAATTCATCAAGTCAACAACATGAAAGGGCTTAATGTCTCTGAAGTATATGTAACCATTTAAGCTAAAGATATGATTCACTCGTGGAAGCTGTGCTGTTTTAAACAGATGGTCATATAGGTTTAATGTTGACGCCTATGTCCGAACAGCTCCTTACGATAAAGGATAACGGTCCAGTTAGTGGTAGGAGTGTTAAAGTTAAAGCGTTCGCACGACACGCCAAGGCCGAAGTCCACAAAACAGGGTGAATGAGTATGGTTTTACGCCGCTTTTAGCAATATTCCATCAATATCACGTCGGGGGACACCAGAAATGGCCTTCACTCATTGTACCCATGTCGGGAATCGAACCCGGGTCTTCGAACGCTTCAACCAGTAGGCTACCCGACCGCCCCTCCACGACACAGATGCTAGCCACATAGTTGTCCAAGGAATGAGTCTTTGTGTCCATGTGATTTCATCGTGCATGTGTGCACTGTATGTGTATATGTATGTGTATTTGAACAGTATTTCGGTCATATCAGGATCGTAGACATTTTTATACTTGGTGACACTCACGTGCATGGGTATAATGCTACCTCAGACCACGACATGCAGGCCAAGTGTGATGAAATTGTGCAGATATACTACTATGCCCTTATATTTGGTTAAACACATTCTGCGTGTCTCAGGGTTGATCATGGTCTCCTATATTAGGAACGCCTGCTCAATCCTTTACAAATTGATATGAATCATTTGTGATGTTTTAATTTGTCAAATGTGGCTATCCAACGTTGATACATATTATGTGCGAGTGTGTGTAGTGGGTACATACATTGTTTCAGTGACATGTCAAATATTGCCACATATAAGGCCGGTATGTTAACAGAAGAAGGAATCTGCCAAACTATCACCTGTCACTGCTATCAAATATGGCTTAACTCTAAAACGTGAAAATATGTTCAGCGCTCTTTTGTACTGGATTCCAAAACTCTATAAAGATCTTTACAAAGAGATATACATTGCCGGGTCAAGCTAAATGTAATCCCTGATTAACCATTGTTAATCTAGAAAGGCCTGTTTATATATTCAAAGAAAGTATTTGAAACAAGTCAAATGAATACCATGTGGATTCTAAAAATCTCATATGATTTCCTTGAATACTAGTATCAGACAAGAACCAAGTTGAATTTTGTGAATTTTTTTAATTATTCAGGCTACACACCACTATCCCACACAACGAACTCAAGGCAAATGTTCATTTCTTGATCTATGGGGTATTTGTCACTAAACCTGATGACCAATGATATAGTTACTTCTCTATCTACAAAGGTGCAGGAATATGTGTCAAAAATGAAAGCAAAAGTCGTCTGAAGTTTAATGAGAAGCCAATATGTGAAATGCTGGACTTCCTCATAGAAACCCACATGTCAAATCTGGGGATAGGACATTTTGACAAGCAGTGTTGTCCTCCCTTCCTTGCTGATCTGTTTCTTTAAGTCTATGAATCTGAATTTCTGATCGGATTTGCAAATTCAAATTATGAGAATTTAACACAAGCTTTAGGTATATATGGATGGTCTGAAGTCGTTCAGTAATTGTCAAATAGCCAATTCCCTTCCATTGGTTTACCCTCCTGAACTAGAAAGAAAGGATACCAATGAAAACGCCACATGTGTTTAATATTTAGATCAATTTTCAAAGATTCAGTGACAGAAATCTCTCTACGAGACTGTTAGACAAGGCGATACAAATTTGATGCATCAGTGACGAAAATGACATCCTATGCAAAATTCCTTAGTTTATCTTGTACCATATGTTCCCTTGTTTGTTCAGGTGATCACTTGACTTACGTTTGATGTGTTAAAGGTGGGTTCAACTGATGCGGCAGGATACGCTCACCTCTACGCGAACATCTGGTAGCACAACTATTTAGTAGTGATTCTTAGACACATGCTTATGACATCGTCGGAATTGTACAATAGACTGATTTTAGCAGAGATAATGATGGAAGGGTTTTGTCACTTTTATTTACAATATAAAATACAATAATAAAATTGTCAATGCAAGGTAATATCCAGCCTAGATTTTCTGCCCAAACAGATTCAACTTGGCGTAAAGGGCAAATAGCTGTGGAAATTATATGAATGGACCTCTGAAAATCAGTGATGACACCAGGTGTTCGCGAAAAGGGTAGGCATATCCTGCCCTGCCGTAGAATTACAGTGTTTCTGTTATATTCATGCGACTGTCATGGTCTTTGAGCACCACCATTACCGGCTTTAAGCGTACGTTAACTTAGCGTAGTTCTCTTCACCAATCACAATTTCTATGTTGCAAATCCCGCTTTCTTTCTTCCAAACCTTCCAATTACATTGCAACAACTGAAGACGATTCCAGTGGTCAGGACTGGTAATTCAGAAAGTGATTTGGTAGGTCATTAAAATGTGTCCCTGCTATTCAATGGGCAGAAGAAGGATTGGAAATGTTTAATGGGTGTGTCAGTGGAGGTTCAGGCCGCCTTTATTAACAATATTCCAGCTATATCACGACTTGGGATACCATCAATGGCCTTCACACATTGGGGAAAAAGCTACAGATCATGCCGTTGCTTTGCAACAATTTGTGTAGATTTTCGAAATCTACGCCCAATTTCGAACCTGCATTACATTTTTGATGTTTATTCAACGCCTTTCAAAATATATTATATTATATTATGTCCTTATCTTGTGGTGTTTGTATAACTTTGTGTGGCATTTACATGAATGCTGTTACTTCCTGTAACGAATGAATCAGAAAACAGCAAGTTGACGACAGTGGTTCTTGTCTCATTGCTGAGAAGCAAACAGTTTCTCTAACAAACTACTGTAACGTCAGTGTTACACGGATCAAACACGACGCCACTTGTGACTCGTCTGGCAAACTGCGAAATGCACTTTCTTATTGGCCTCCACTTAAAGAAAAATCCTCTCTTGTGGCGCATGTTGGGGTTGACCTCTGAAATAGAGTAATATCAATTAACTGTGTAGTGACAGCATATGATAGCTTTCATTTATAGCTCATCACTCGAGTATAGCATGTTCAAGTACACAATGTTTACCGAGGACAAATCGTATTTGTCCCTGTTTATCTCCAATCGATCAGACCCATGTAAATTGGGGTGCTTTAAGTAGTGTCTGTATTTCAACACTGCAGCTTCTTTCTTTTTTTAAAACACACTGTGCTTAAACATTGATCATGCCATGTACACCTCCTATTTAGGCCCAGGAAATGTGTGTGACATATTGATCATCATCAGGGAAATTATGCAGGAAAAGGTGGCACCAAATCCAGAGGTGAACTTTATACTAGGCAACTGAACATTTTGGGGGGGAATGTGCAACGAACAAACTGGAGTCCTGCAGCCAGATACCCAAGAGCGACTGAAATGTTCACATGTAATAATAAGAAGGGGAATGCTCTTATGCTTGTCTTGTCTATGAAGACATGGTGTGTTTGGAGGGGTGGGGGTGGGGTGTCCTTCCTGTAACCCCATTTTCGTAATGAGGAGAAGTATACCTCACTGTATACCACTGTAACTGGATAGCAGTCCGATTTCCCCTAACGACAGGCTGCTATCTATTCTATTGCTCTGTGACGTCATTGGCGTCGTTTCTTGTTCGTGACGTCATCCTATAGTATGTTCTATGACGTTGCTATTTGTAACTCATTGACCTCCGTTGTAAGCTTTTTTCTCTATAATTTATATAAATAAAGTCACGAACGAGGTTTCTTTAATAAATAATGTCTTTGCTCATCACATTTAATGATATTTAAATACGGTCCCATATCAGGTCAGTCACAAGCATCTTGGAATTTTTACTGACGGTATATGCTCATGTGGGGTGAGTAGTTCTGTCTGATTGGTCAATCTCACTTTGAGGCATAATAAATATATATTTTATGACTCAAAATGTGCCCGCTTACCATCAGTTAACTCCAAGATGGTTGTTCAACACACACACACACACACACACACACACACACACACACACACACACACACACACACACACACACACACACACACTTTACTAAGATAAATTTAACGTGTGTGATGTGATAGTAGGCTAAGATTATCGGTTCTACATACGTTTTGCATCAACCAGTCCGGAATATTTGCTGTCCACTAGGAACACTTCGTGATGGAGACAGAAGTCAGCTATGTGTGGTCCAAAGAGGAGTTTTACTGTCCAAGTCTTCAGTGGTGACAGTTTATCTACTCTGAGCCATTCCTCTTTAACACCGTCCAGCACATCATGAGCCTAATGAACAAAGTATGGGTGTGTGGTTATTCATGTCATACTAGACAAGGCAGGACTGGCATAGGTAAACCAGTGGGAGAATGAGCATCTTCCTTACTGTAGGGATACGTTGCGGTATATATTAACCATGTAGTACCCCGTTCAATTACTATCATATGGTGCATTTGTCAAATACGATGCTATCAAGACAGATATCTTTATACTCAGATGCCATCAAGGCCATCTGACGTGCGCCATTAAATGCAAACAATAAGAAATTCGTTGTATCATTGAATTATCGTGACAATGAATCATATGCAACAAACCTTGTTTTAAACCTAGTAGACAATTAATTCCAAACTCACACGTTTAGCCTCTTCTAAGCGCCGCTTCATGCCTGTCATAGTGGCGTTGAATCGTTGAATGTAGCACTGTTGATCGACTGCATTCCTTATGGCTACAAAACTCTGTAAGGTGAGTTTCAAAATAATTAAGTATGAATATTTGCCAGGTATTCCAGGGGCAAGATTGGTATTGTTTTCACATAATATGTCACAGTATTTTAAACAGTTATTGCTTCTGGAAACACAACTCAAACGAACGGCAGAATCCTTTCGAAACATGAGGCCAAAACATTCAAGAGTGAGTGAGATCTTACGCCGCTTTTAGCAATATTCCAGCAATATCACGGCAGGGGACACCAGAAATGGGCTTCACACATTGTACCCATGTCGGGAATCGAACCCGGGTCTTCAGCGTGAAGAGCGAACGCTTTACCACTAGGCTACCCGACCGCCCCGAAACATTCAAGAAACTGACTATTACTTTTCTTCTTAAAAACAAAATATATATATATGTCATCAATGCGAGAAGTATTATACTTCTAGCTAAATATAGAAAGTGAACAATTATTGTGAAAATTTTTATGATGTGTAATGGGATGTAACAAAACGCTATATGGCTGAAATAATGCCGACGCGACGTTAATTTTTAACTCACTCATTGTAACCGTCATCATACATTCACATTGCGTTGAACAATGGCCAAACGAATACATAATGTGAAAATGGCTTGACCAAATATGGACACGGTGTACCTGTGCATGAATACATTGTTGTAAAACATAGTCGTACAGTGATAGTACGAGTCTACGTGTTCATGTAAGCCTTTGTTTAAAACATTACCCTTTCAATTTAATCTGATCAGTCTAAGCCTACGCATTTATATCCCCTAAGAGTTTTACGGCGGATTCCGGATTCCGTTTAAACCGCATTTATATTCCCGTTTAAACTGATCAGATAATTAAGTTGTATTTAATTTAAGATTTGGATTAATTCATGATTGGGAAATGTTCTTCACCGTTGAGAACACGTGCAGGTTGGTTGTTTCTCTGAAGCTGTCGAGAGCATTGGCAGGTTTGTGTGCTGTCACTTCCATTATGTCAGTGCCGAATGTGACGTCGATGGGGATGATCTGGTCTCCAAACTTCCCTACGACATGGTACCCCTACAAACACATGACATTATATTTACATATACGCATCAAACAATACACTGTGGAAGTTGCAAACATTTGTTTTAAGCGTTCGCTTACTTCAAACAAATTAAAAAATGTAATTGAATAGGCTACCATCGAAGAAGCTGTTAAGGGCAAGGTCAGGAGGAAACAACGTACTAGCATGACTGTATATGGTATACAAATATAAACATGTTATAATACAAGTGTAATAATAGTACAAGTGCTGAGAATCCGAAATGTTAAAGATACGTATAAGTAAATTATTGTATAAATGAGGAGGGATCCGCGACTAACACAGTAATACAAGTGTAAACTGTTGACAATATTGCCGACATACCTGAACTCCCGCACAACATCCAAACAGGAGGACACAGACAGCAACAGCGCTGAAGACTTGCATGATTTGGGGCTTGATGTCACAAACTAAGAATAAAGTAAACGATTGGTCATTTTAATGCACGTGATGGTAAGTAAAAGAATGACATTGACTCCACAGTCGATAACAACGTATACATAATGTTGCATAAACCGTCAGTAAGTTCATTTGTACATGTAACAATAATAAAGTGACGTCTTCTCAGCTGTCGTATGAACATCATGTTTATAATACTTGAACGTATTGTTATAGTGCAAACCATTTCAATACTTTTATTTAAAATAGTGCAAACCATATTTCAAAACTTATTTAACATTTCATTTATCTAAATACCTAACTGGTTCAATATGTTTCCAAGTGCACCGAAATTCTATGCCTTTGTCTGTTTAATATATTCAGCAAACATTCGGCGTATCCCCTTTTATCATAAACCCCTCCGGGCAGGACCCTTAATCTCCAGCGCTATCTATAAATTCCAATTAACACCTCCTTACGTCGCCGGATCTTACGTATATACATACACGTCGGACAATGACCTTGCCACACGTTACGTAATACCTCGCTCTACAAAACCCGACTGACATTGTCAGTCAGGGAGACAGCCAGAAGGTAAGTGACAGAGCGAGTCTCCAACCGGGAACATTGGCCACTCGGTCCCGGTGTGCGTTCTGTCACGTTATTATGAACATGTACCTTTTCGACTCATTTCAACCTGCACCAATAAACATGGCTGTTGTCGTCTTAACTTCACCCCTGAGGTTTGTCTTCCGTCATCCCCCTGAGCTACCATCCGAGGGCCGACACTTACGCCCTTGGACAGTATGTTTGGCCGTTGATTTCAGCAGGGCGTGTAAGTACAAATGGTCCAGTGTTCACTTTCAATGCATGGAGAATCGTTACATTCCAGTAGTCCAAGCAATGAGTAAATATCCCAGGCATATACTTCTCCATGAAGATAAAGCTGCACTCAGCAATAGTCCAGCTATATGACGGCGGTCTGTTAAATAATCGAGTCTGGACCAGACAATCCAGTGATTGGGATCGATGACATGCATCAACCAAGACAGCGAGCCTGACCACCCGATCCCGTTAGTCGCCTCTTACGACAAGCATAGTCGCCTGTTACTGAACAGATAACATGTATGCTGTATAACGCCGCAGTCAGGCATATTTCAAACTATAAATAATCGATTCACAGTATTGTTCTGGGAACAAAATATGACAAGACGACTTCAGTGTGCAGAACTATAACTTTGTTTGTTTGTTGTTTAATGCACTTAGCAATAATCCAGCGAAATGACGGCTGCCTGTAAGTTATTGAGTCATTCACCGTCATTTATAGGTAATCATGGGATGGGTGTAGATTCATTTAATGAATTCATTTAATGAATCTACAAACTTAGTCTAGGACAATCGCGCACAGGAGATTACGTGGGCGTAAAGTTTTCCGATCGGTTCCAAGCAGCAGGACGAACATGTCTTTGGCCATTAAGATCACTGTCAATTACAAACTTTTAAGAATTGAGTGGACAGGGCGTCAGACAGTTATATTGTGGTTCATTCTCGACTTGATAGATCAGAGTAGTGTTTAGAGACGTGTCCATAAGCGCTACCAGCTGTGTACCATAGCACGTCAAGGCCGTGTCTGTGATGGCTTTGTGATGGTGTGTGCTGGCATCAGCTGCAGCGGGAGGACAGACCCAATATGTCCTGATGGTCGACTCCCGAGAACAAGGCGTTCGTTATCGTGATGGGATTTTCACTTCAGTCGTGGTACCCTTTACGTGTAGAATTGAAACAGAAAAATACCCGCCAACTCACACACAAGGTGTTTGTAAATGAGTTTTGTAAGAAATGGGATCATCTGGGTATTGCCTTGGCGAGCTAAATGTTTTGACCAAAGCTGCCTTTGGGTATTTGTAGGGTGGACAACGTCCTGTAGCGCCTCATAATGTGAACTGACACCTTTCAGCTCTGCAAGAGTAGTGGCTCCGGATCCAAAAGAGCTACCTACGGGACCCAAATCCAGAACAAATCTGAAGAGGACAGACGGTTGTCGGTTTCACCTTGGTTATAATCGTTATTAACATGCACTCCCCACGTCATTTCCTGGATGCTAGTAGCTGGTAAACATGTAAGCTATGGCCATTGATTTTCCAATTAATTCGTGTTAATTCGTTTAACTATTTTTGTTATTAATTAGTATATTTTCCAGCAATTATTTGTCTATCTTGAAAAAATCAAATTAAACTGAGTTCACTTCTATAATATATGATCAGCAATGCTATTTAATAAAAGACTGAGATAGGTGACATTTGACTAAATTCCATTCGTATTTTTGGGTCATCAGTCAACGTTATTGTGTTATTGATAATTCACCTGTCTTGTAGGTATAATTAATAGATATGTTCCAATATCTGGCAAATGGAATTTGAGGAAAACAAAACCATAACTGAATGTAATTCCCCGGCCGCGTCAAAAAAACAACGTTAAAAGGTGGTACATGTACTTGATGTAACCCTGCCTGGCGCTCGGCATTGTGGGGCTGAAACAACTACTGATCGGCTCGGAGTCAGTATGCTGTATGTGAGTGGATTCGTGTTAAACTGCAGCATGGTATCTCAGTGGGCTAGCTGTAGAAACTCGGCATTAGTCAGGACTATTAAAAGCTTTCTCTTCATTTTTTGTTGGAAGAAAATTGTGAGTTAATTTATCACAATGTCCCAAATGAAACCATGACTAATCGAATGTGCATTCATCATTCACGTGGTCATAACTGGTTGGCAGTTTCGTGTTCTTGGCAATTTTCACGAAGTCTCTATTTGTAGGAGAAAATACGCCTCCGTGGTTTTGGTTGAAAATGTAAACTCAATGGGAGAGGGATTTTACATTTCCAACCAAAACCGGAGGGTAGTGTTTTCTCTTGCTTATAAACCGTCAAACGAGTTTAATTCAACAACAAAGCCTGTTCATGTATACGACTGTTGGCGAAAGCAGTCACTGCCCGAGAAATTGCGAACCAAAACAGAGGAGGAGTGTTTTATCCAACTTATGAACCGTCTAAACGCAAGAAATACGGGGGGGGGGGGGGGGGGGGGGGGGAATAAGAATCATCGGGATACATTTTAGTGAAACAATACAGGATGTCGTGGTATCAAGGGAATTCGATCAAAGAGTGCGAGAAAGAGAACACGTGCATCATGCAGCACAAACAGAAGTCGTGACAATTAACAACTTTTCATCACCTGCCCCGGTGGCTCAGTGGGAAAACAGTGGGTTACCAAACTAGACACGGTATGTGAGGTTCCATAATGAAAACTTTTATTTCTTGTCTTCGGTTTTAGAACATTGGACGTTTGAAACACCAAGTACTAATTTCATCTACTTCTTAACTCATCAGGTCTTACAAGGAAAATGTAAAACCTCATACCCTATGAAAAAGTAAAACCTCCCAAGAGGTTATTACGAGATAGGAAGATACCTACAATACAATAAGCAAAAGTGACAGTAGGTTTATAACTTAAGGACATTCTCAACTGAATGATCGCTGAACACTTTTTCCGCTCTGTAGGTATATGTGATAGAGACAGGCGAGTTGTTTGATTTCAAGCTAGGCCCTATTGTAGTATCAGTCAAATCTTAATTGCTCGGTACTTATCAATAATTAGGAGACACGCGAAGACGTTTGCATGAAATTACTTCACTGAAACACTTACCTCTATTCTGTCCGGTGAATATCAAGATGTGGTGTTTTGACTGAGATAGTAAAGCTTTATATACTGGTACTGTAGGTCCCAAATGAGAAAGTTATGTTAATGAATGCATATCATTCACGGTTTTAAGCACGCATATATCAAACGTCTTCCCTTGTAGGACGTACTCCGCTTTCAGGATTTACATTTTGTGTAAACTTCCGTATTAACGCCCCCAGGGATGGGTCCGATGACGTCAAACGTCATCCGTTTGTTACACTTAATATATGCGCCGCAAACAGCTGTTTGGCACTATGAATTTCCAAGTTGTTTACATCATTGAAATATATTTTTAATAGCCATGGCATACGCTTGTTAACTGGCCTGTGTGTGAATATTCATAGTCTACCAACCTGCCACATCTCGTCAAGTTGTTGACATAACACCGAGTAGTCCAGACATACGCCAGCCTGTCTATTCTGTCAGATAAACATGACGCTCCAACCTCCCTTGTCAACTACAACAACACATGTATCTATAGTTTAAAAACCGCTTCCTCCTTATGAAATAAATTTATAACAATAATAGGTCATTTATATTGCGCCTATTTCCACACCACAATGGGGCAGCTCAAAGCAATCTTATTACCCCGGTTACTGGATCAGTGTGCACTAAACAATCATTCTCAGCTCCCTGGGGAGTTTACAACGCAAGCTGCCTGATAGGCGCTGGAAGGTTAACAACCGTCAGAGGCACGAACAAAGTCACTTGCCCAAGGAGACACAACATGTGTTAAATGTGTTTCAGTGTGGGGCAAGACCGAAGCCCTAGAAACTCTCAGGAACCAAGCTGCCGACACGCGGTCATCCACGGACTCCGCGACCTGTAAAAGTAGCTTTGATATTTGTCCATCATATCAGGGTGTCGCAAAACCTTCCAGGCGCAGTTAAGGCTATTGTTAGCCACTCGCTGTAATTTCATGTCTGAAAACTTTTCAGAATTACAGTATATGGGTAGGTGTTGTAAGGGACCGAAAATATATCCAGGGAGTAAATTGTTCCAGATAATACGTGGAAAATTATAACTTGTCCTCGGGTTTTAAATCTTCAGCATTTGTCGCAAAGGTCGAGGGTGAAAAAAACATCCGGTTACGTTCACATTAAGCATCCCATCGGGTGGTCAGACTCGCTGTTTTTGTTGATGCATATCATCGTATTTCAGCTGGAATATTGCTGAGTGTGACGTTAAACAACAAACAAACATTTATACTGCGGGTGATTAATATGTAGATCTACTGAGAGAAGTTATAAAATCAAACAATATTTAAGTTCTATACATAACCCTTTCGGTCCATGGGTGTACATGGAGTGGAGCGGCACTCGTGTGGAGGGGATTCTTAGTAACGAGGTGTAGCAGAACAACAGTAATACAGAATTTCCCAAACTACTAATTGACGGAGTGAAGGCTGTTTTTCTACGCACTCAGCCTTGTTCCAGATATATTACAATGGACTCTAAGTAGTCTAGTCAGTAAAATGATGATCAACGATATGTGCCATAGGCTCACGGTGTCACACAATAAGTGAGGTTTACCACAAGCACACCAGTTAATCTCAACTGACAACACAGCTGGCTTCTTATTCATTCATTCATTCATTCATGAGGACATTGTGTGTTTCCGTCTCTATCTGTCAATTTACTCAAGCGTGACGTTACACTCACGGATACACTCCATCGCCTGAAGGGTTTGACCCCGTTCCTACCTCGGAATACAGCATTACAGGAAAATGTTTGCACCAATCAGAGTTTTATAAGGCGAGAAAGCGATACCATTCTGTCTCGTGTTATCGCTTTCTCGTATCGTTCTATCGCTTTCTCGCTTTCCCGTATCGATCTATGGCTTTATCGCTTTCTCGACTCGTTCAATCGCTTTCTCGCTCTATCACTTTCTCGTCTCATGGTATCGCCTTATGGCTTTCTCGTGGCCGTAGTTGAAGGCGAAAAAGCGATGTCCCCTCTCGGCCACCATAATACTCAGTTTCACCAAGGTTATAAACAACTATGGCCATGGTCACGTTGGTCTTTATCCAGCATGAAGCTGACACGTGACAACAAGCACTCTTAAAACCGGGAACTAAACCCAGCTCACTCATTCACAACAACTGTTTTGAAGGTTAAAAGATGTGATAGACTAAATGTCATTTAGTTTGATTATCAAATATTTTCTCTGTTCCCATATGTTCAGTAGTTTGTGCATGGATGATTGAGTGTGGGATTTTATGGACAATATTACCCCGAAAAATCTTGAAAAAAGTAATTATGCTTCAGACTATTGATCAAAAAAGAAATTGTTAAGATTGTTGCAAGGTGATTTTCTAATCTTAAAACAAACTTCTGGGTCAGAGTTTTAAATAAGAAAATATCTGGTATTGCAGACTTATCTAATCTAAATACAAAATCCTAATATTTCGCGATAAACATTTCGCTATTTGATTAAATTCATCCACAGCTATTGAAGTGTCTGCTAAAGTGTTTTGAATATCGTGTTACAGCATAATAAACTGTTTCTGTTGATATGAAGTCTGTGACTTTGATTGGTCAAGACTGACTCTTGAAATGTTGATATCTATTATCGTCATACATTAGACATTCTGATGGTAAGTAGTGAATTTCGTTTTCTAGGGTATTGCAAGCATAGCATAGTGGAGCATCTAAAGGCGTGACCGACCATGTATAACGACCTGTTTCTGTCGCCACATCAAACTTTAGTAGGTATCTTTCTCTTATCTCTGGACTTTGCAAACCGTCAATATGTCTCTGCCTTCTGTCGTGCTTCAACGTTCTGTACGTTCGATGTTTAGTGCCATGTGGTAAATTCCTATCATCCCATAATTCGTGAAACCACAATTGGTCCTCTGTCACAGCACATCTTCTTTGATATGAGAAATGTGTTGCGTCCACTTTCAAGTCGCGGGAAGCAAGGGAGATAACTTCCATGTTTGGACAATTCTGAAACGATGTCATGTTGACTTCTCTTCTGTGTTGACAGTTTTGAGTTAAATCAAAATATTTCAATCCTTTGCCTCAATACTCTTTGCCTGAACTTGCGACAAGGCTCCACTGACTGCGATTTCTTTAGTGGTAAAGTCCAAGTTTTCATATATAAAAGAAACCAAAGGTACTTGTACTTAAAGGCGAACTCCATTTATCGCAATCCACAATGGAACTTTGTAGTTGTACGAGATTAGTTTTATTCCTAAAACCATTCGTTTACTATAGCCAACATGTTTTGTAATGATTGTTCGCGTGGTGATAAAAGAACAATATAATGTGCGAAAAATTGAAGTTAAAATGAAATATTATCCACATACCACAGCTGAGAGAGTTAATGTCATCTGCTCGATCATTAATGTATAAGGAGAACATGGCTGGCGAGATAGGGCATCCCTGTTTTACACCGCTGATGATGTTGAAAGGTGAGTTCATGCAGTTGTTGTCTTCAGCTGAACACTGGACGTCCTCATACAGAGCCTTGGTCATTGAAGTCTCGATAGCACGCACTGAAGCAACTTCAAAGTCAGTCTGTACGCTGGGGACAAGTACGTGTCCTTTCTTATCAAGCACTAGCTGCTTTACATAAGTGAAAAGTCTCTCATAGGTCTGTTGGCGTCTGGCACCATGGTGTAAACTGTTGGAAATGTGTTCTTCATAACCTCACAATGTATAACATACAGTTGATGTCGATGCTATGGTGGGATGGGATGTAAGGAACAACTTCTTGGGGAACAGGCGCCAGCTTTTAAAGACTAGGAATAGTCGTAAATTCTTCTCTGGTTCTCTTTCTGGGGTTAATTATGTAACCGGGGGTGTTCATGAATAACACAGGTCGTTATTTGTCGTGAGGATTTATTATCAGAACAAACGCCCTGAAACATATTAAAATCAAAGATAAATATACACGTAAATATATGTTTGTTAATATACACAAACATACAGTGTAGATATATAAGAGCACATCACATTATATTCATTCACATCGTCACACCGACGACATCATAGAAATAGATAGAACTCTTGCTTTCAACAAATACATTGAAGGATGTGTTATAACTTACAATAACTATATATACACTGTATCCCTATACATGTGTAATAATATGATAAATACAATTAATTAATTTCATTAATACACAAGAAAATACAAGCATACCCTGTAGTTGAAACTGGGGCGGGAACTGCGTTCACCAACACAACTGACAGGACTTATGGTGTCTGCATCTAAATACAAATACAAAGACAAATATACTTACTTAGGTAAAACGGGTTACCTTAGAAAACATGAATTATGTGTTACACATAACATACCAATGAATGCTTTACATTATACATAAATAACATTGTCATAACCAAACACATACATCATAAATACATACCCACTCGCTCACTCATTCTCAAATGAAACATTTAGGAAAGGTGACGATATACAGTGCTAACATAGTTAAAACATTTACATGGCTACAATTATATGACTATATGTAATGACCTATCTAAATATGTATTAAGACTGTGTAATACTACAGATGATTACACAAATAGATGCAAGTACAATATAACAATACGTACAGAAACATAACTAACCTATCTGGACGGTCTCAGATGAAAATACTACACAGAGCAGATATTTGTTGTCCGCATGGTCAAGGTGTAGTGGCTGGTGTGCTGGTTAAATGCTGGGTGTTAGTATTTGAAACAAGGCCAATCAGGCGCAGGCTATACTAAACAAAGGACCGACCCAAGCTACCTACTCTACCCCACAACCAGTAGAAGTTAAAAGAAAAGAAAACTCCACGCAGAGAACAAGTCGTTATGCAGAGCTGTAGAATACAGCAGCCATACAGGTTTATTTTATTTAATTCAACATAATAAAAGGTTAAAACACCATTTCATTACAAAAAATTATATGTATACAAATATATAAAATACAGAAAATATACATATATACAACACTGCCACAAAAGTACATGGCATGAAAACCTACAACAATTGCAATCACACACAATCTCTGTTATTTGTGAAGTTCGGGGTTGGTGCAACCTTGGTCGTTTAAGTAGACATAAGTTACTACTACTACTACTACTACTACTACTACTACTACTACTACTACTACT